AGTGGTTGTTGTTGGAGGCTTTGTCAAAGATGAGTTGGTTGATAAACTGAGGTTTTGCTTTCAGAATCTCTATTATGTTTCATTGGTCTATATGCCTGTTCTTGTACCAATACCAGGTTGTTTTGATTACTGGGGCCTTATAACAAAGTTTAAAGTCTGGAAGTGTGATACCTCCCACTTTGTTTCTTTTGCTAAGAATTGTTTTGGGTATTTGTGGTTGTTTATGTTTACAAATGAATTTCTGTATTGTTTCCAATCTGAGAAGAATGATGTTGGTAATTTAATGGGTATAGCATTGAATCTGTAGATTGCTTTGAGTAGGATGGATATCTTAACAATGTTGATTCTTCCTATCCATGAGCATGGAATATTTTTCCATTTGTGTTATCTTTGACTTCTTTGAGCAGTCTTTTGCAGTTTTCATTGTAAAGATCTTTCACTTCTCTGGTTAGGAAGATACTGAGGCAGTTCATTTCTTTTTGAGGCTATTGTGAATAGACTTGTACTTTTTATTTGGTTCTCTGCCTGTCTGTTTTGGTGTATAAGAATGCAACTGTCTTTTGTACATTTATTTTGTACCCTGAGACTTTATCAGTGCAAGGAGGTTTTCAACAGATTCTCTTGGATTTTCGAGGTACAGGATCATATCTTGAAAAGAGGGATTTCTTGACTTCTTTTCCTATTTGGATACCCCTGATTTCCTTCTCTTGAATGATTGCTTTAGCTAGGACTTCCAATACTACGTTGGAACATACCTCAAAATAATAAGAGCCATCTATGATAAACCCACAGCCAACATATTGCTAAATGGACAGAAACTGGAAGCATTTCCCTTGAAAACTGGAACAAGACAAGGCTGCCCACTCTTACCCCTCCTGTTCCCTCTATGCCTAGGTGTTCAAAGATTTGTATCAAGAAAGGATACTGAATTTTATCAAAAGCTTTTTCCACATCTAATTATATAATCATATGATTCTTGTTTTTACATTCGTTGATGCATTTCATTACATTTATGGTCTTGGGATGTTGAATCAGTCCTGCATCCTAGGGATGAAGCCTACTTGGTCATAGTGGATGTTTTTTGAGATGCATTATTATATCTGATTTGCTAGATTCTTGTTCAGAATTTTTGCATACATATTCATCAGAGATATTGGCCTATAGTTCTTTTTTTTATTGTTGGATCTTTACCCAGTTTGAATACCAGTGTAACGTTAGCTTCATAAAATGATTTGCAAAGACTTCTGTCTTTCTTGCTTGCCTGGAATACTTTTTTTTTTTTGAGTTGGAGTCTCACTCTGTTGTGCAGACTGGAGCGCTTCAGTGATCCTTCTGCCTCAGCCTTCCAAGTAACCAGAACTACAAGTGCATGCTACCATGCCCAGTTCATTTTTGATTTATTGTAGAGACAAGGTCTCGTCAAGTTGCCTAGGCTGGTCTCGAACCTGAGGGCAGGCAATCCACTTGCCTCGGCCTCCCAAAGTGCTGGGATTATAGGCTAAGTCACTGAGCCTGGCCACCTGGAATACTTTCAATAGGATTGTTATTAGCTCCTTGTATGTTTTGTAGAATTCCGCAGGGAATCCATCTGGTTCAGGACTTTTTTTGGTAGGTAGTTTTCTTATGACAGAGTCAATTTCCTTGGCTGTTATTGGTCTATTTAGGATCTCAATTTCTTCTTATTTTAACCTTGGGAGGTTGTGTGATGACAGAAAGCCCTCCATTTCATTTAGGTTTCAAGTTTATTTCCGTACAGGTGTGCACAGTAATCTCTGATTATCGTTTGCATTTCTTCAGGGTCTGTTGTGACTTGATCTTTTGCAATACTGATTGTGTTTATTTGTGCTTTTACTCTCTTTTTCATGATAATTCTGGCTAGGGAGTCCATCAATCTTGTTTATCCTTTCAAAGAACCAGATTTTGTTTTGTTGATTTTTTTCTATGGTATTTTTGTCTTCTATGTCCTGTATTTGCTTGCCCTGAGTTTAATACAGAATAATTTCCGGTAAATATATCCTTTTAAACATGGCTTCCCCCTACCATGCAGGAAATGCTCAAGAGGTACTACACTGAAGTGGACAGCTTGTTAACGTACTTACCTCTGATCACTAGGAGTAAGTATTCCCACTGGGATCAACAGAATGCAGTCCTAAAACCTTCATATCCACCAAAGGTTCAGAAGTCCTAATTTTGAAATCTTAAAAGTCTATCTTTATGGTATTTTATTTTATTTATTTATTTTTTGAGTTGGAGTCTTACTCTGTTGCCCAGACTGGAGTGCAGTGGCCGCTCCTGGCCACCGCAGCCTCGACCTGCTGGGCTCCGGCGATCCTTCCGCCTGAGCCTTCCAAGTAGCCGGAATTACAGGCATGCGCTACCACACCCAGCTGATTTTTTGATTTATTGTAGAGATGAGGTCTCGCTGCCCAGGTGGGTCTCGAACCCGTGGGCTCAGGCAATCCACTCACCTCAGCCTCCCAAAGGCGTGGGATTATAGGCTTAGCCACTGAGCCCGGCTTCTTTATGGTATTTTAGATGACCATGAACAACTCTTCTCAACACACGTCCTTCCTCCCATCAAGAGATGGAGTCTATTTCCTTCCCCTTGAATCTGGGCTGGGGTTGTGATGTAGTTTGAACATAATATGGCAGAACTGACAACTGTGGACCTAGCTCTAAGGACCTGGCATTTTTTATTCTCTTTCTCTTAGAACCCACCCAACTGCTACTGAAGAGAGAGGCTACAAGTAGAGGCCCAAAGAAGAGAACCTAGCACTCTAATGATTGCAGCTGCCTGAGGGACTCTGACCACTACTACATGGGGAGAAGAACTACCCAGTCAAATCCTACAGAATTGAGAGTAATCATAAATTGTTGTTGTTTTAAACCACTAATAGTTGGGATCTTGTTTTATTGCACAGCAATAGAAAACTGGAAAAACCTCTATCCTGCTATATAATGGCCATAGTGTTGTATCCATGGGACCCAGCTTACTGTTAGCTACAGATAGAAAAGGATTTAGAGAACTGCAATGTAGAATCCCTGGATGGAAATCAGTAAAAAATGGTGGCTAAGAACAAGAACTCTGAAGAGACAAGCCTCGGTTAGAATACTGGTTCTGCCTTTCCATAAAGAAGAACAAAATCATGAACTGCGCAGCAACCTGGATGGACCTGGTGTCTATAATACTGAGTGATCTTTCACAGAAACAAAGAACTGAGTATCACAGGTTCTCACTCACAAGCAGACCTTGAACAACTATCACAATGCTATAAGAAAAGGATTGATAGTAGCGGGAAACTGCGGGGACTTGGGGGGGATGGGGAGGTGGGATTGGCAGTAGTGGGAAACTGCCTGGGGAAGGGGGGGCATACCT